CCCACAGAAGACCGTCTATACTGCAGCCCTCCGCCCAGCACCGTTGCTGCGGCCCCCCCGGACTAGGCCCTGCGTATGACCTCCAGGTGGCCAAACCCAACGGACACTGTTTGAGTGGCCAAGTGGGTGACGGCGCTTTACACGGGGACGGGAGGAGCAGGAGAGGCAGACGGATTAAGACAAGGAGGCGGTGGAGATGCCTGTGGGACATCCAGGTGGAGATGCCAAGGCAGCAGCTGAGCTGGGGAGCTCACTGGGAAACCAGATCTGAGAAGCCAGAGTTAAGAGGCAGATTTGGAAGCCACTGGTGCTTGAAGCCACAGCACTGGCTGACACCTTACAGAGGGAGTGCATTCGAAGAAGGCACGAGGCCCTCGGGTGGTGCCCGAGGGCCGCGGGGGTTAGGGGCCACGATGAAGAGAAGGGAGTAGCAGAGCAGACGAGAAAGGGTGCAGGGGAGGCTGAGCGTCTCCCGGAAGCCAAGGGAAGGAGGCATCCAGTGAGGGAGCGAGGTGGGGTCAGCCCTGCCTCTGCAGGCCGGCAGTGTGGCGGTGCCGGGTGACAAGATGTGAGCAGAGCAGGCACGGAAGCGGGTGGAAGAGCCATATGGTGGGAGGGTTGTTGCGTTTGTTTCAAGGTGGAGATATTACAGCTCATCTGTGTGACACACGAATGATCCTGCAGATCGACCCAGCAGAGAGAGGGGCAGCGATACAGGCCGTTAGAGACCAGGTGCTGGGTGAGAGTAACACCCCACTCTGTTTCTCTGCAGCCCCGTTGCACTTGGAAAATTCCAAAGTGTGTCCTCATCCGTCCCACTCTCCGAACTCTGTCCTCGCTGGCTTCCTCTTCCCCACTTCGCTGCATGTGACCTGTGGTCACCTAACGAGGACAGCAGCTGGGCTGGGCCATTCCAAGCTTGCCTTGCAAGCTTCCCCTGCACCTGACGGGGCCACTGAGACGCGGGCCTGGAGACAGGGGCCAGAGTGTAAACCCAGCTCCTCCATTTCCGAGCTGTGTGGCTTGAGCCAGTTACTCTGGCAAAATGGGGGGAATGATGGTACCTACCTCGTGGGGTTGTTGTGAGGAAATGTTCAAAGCCCTAGAACAGTGCCTGGCACCGAGCGAGCATGCTGAAAGATTTACTGTTGTGTTGACGCAGGAAGTCGCTCTTGGACGCGGCTTCTGAGACTCCAGTGGCTGAGGGGATGCAGGGAGGGTAGGCCCAGCCTCTGCTAGGAAACTCTGAATAAGGGCTGTCCCCCCATCTCATTTTGCTTGTTGAAGCCCTTAAATAATTTAGGGAAAAAATTAATTCCTCACAGTGGGAAGACTTAGACATTGCCTAGTCTGACTCTATTCAAAATTCCACCCATTAAAGTCCCTTATCTGCTTACATACCTCCTCTGCCAGGAAGCTCACCACCTACCAATGCAGCCCATTCCATTCTTGGTCAGCAGTCCTTGTGAGAAAGTTTTTCCTCAAAGGGAGCTAAAACTGCCTTCTTTTGACTCTCTCTCATCTTTGCTCCCCCTCCCCTTCATCCTGGTCAAGCACTGCCCTCTGGGGCCACATAAAGGCTACTTGCCTCCTCCCCTGAGTCTTGGAGACAGGGACCCTATACCCCGGTGTCTTCTCTTCTTTTGGCTGTGGTCTGAGCCTCTGGAATTGAGAGGGGCTGTCACCTGCCCAAGTAGACCTCAAACGATATGACCTAAGCTCTAATCACACAGTTTCTCTTTGAACCAAGAATCCCCATCCAGGGGGTTCTCACATTGATTACTGCCAAGCACCTTCCCATTCTCGGCTTGCACTGGGGGAGCCTGAAACCAGGCCTTTATCAGTCAGAGTTACTGGCTCATAAAACACAAAAGGTTAGGGCTTCCCTGGTGGCGCAGTGGTTGAGAGCCCGCCTGCCGATGCAGGGGACACGGGTTCGTGCCCCGGTCTGGGAAGATCCCACATGCCGCGGAGCGGCTGGGCCCGTGAGCCATGCCCGCTAGGCCTGTGCTAAACGGATCCGTTCCTATTGCCGTCATTGTTAGGCTCTATCCGTAGCCCCCAGCGTCTCCAGGTGGCCCCCTAAGAGTCACAGGTGCCTGTCACATCTCCCCACGGCACAACTGCTCGGTTGGGGAGAGGCTGCCTCTGTTTTGGGGGAATTCCCCGAGCCTACAGCTCCTTGCATCTCATTGGCTACCTGTGCAGCCCTTAGCCAATCATGGTGGCTGGGGGTGGGATTACGCTGATTTGTGTGCTATGTACGCCCTCCTCTGAGCAGGTGTGCAGCCTGTGGCTGGGGGTGGGGACAATCGGGGAGCTGTCACCCCTGGGGAGGGGGTGCTGGATGGCCCCAAGCGGTGGATGGCTCACCCTGGGCCTCATGTACAACCGTGCAGACCCCCATTTGTTTGGCTCAGCAGGTGGTCCTCTGGGTGGTGAGTTCACCTGACCAACCCTGGGCGCCCACACCTGCTCAGGCTCTCTCTAGTGCCTTCTCCCCGTGTCCCAGTTACTCCGGGACAGCTGCCGTGTTGCCCCCTGACCGGCACGTGGCCAGAGGAGCTCCTGGACAAGCTAATGGCTTCTGGGTCCTTGCCAGAGGCCCGACCGCAAGAACCCAATCAGAGCTGGGAGGACCTCAGAGGCATCGGCTCCAGTGACCCACCTGCAAAATGGAGCCCAAGTCCCACTGCCAGTTCCTATTGGCAGCGCTGGGGTTGGAATCAAGGACCCCTGCTCAGCCCTCCTGGATACAGACGCTCCTCAGAAGATTTTGCCTTTAGTCCCATTGGCTAAAATTCAGTTACAAGCCTACGTCTTAGCTGCAAGGGAGGCTGGGTGAATATCCACCATGGAAGGCTGACTCGGCCATACTGGCCACTGGGTAGGGAGCCAATGGGGTCAGCCACAGAGACCACACAGGGGCTTCTGCAGGCATGTCACAGCTTAGCTGTGCACAGCAAGGAGTGGGGAAGGGCGGGCCCATACCCCACGCTCTCCTGCAGGAAACTGGCTGAGCCCCCTCCCTCCCAACACCTGTGTCTTCCCACACCCACAGGTCGGAGGACAGCCACCTCCCAACCTCACCACGAGCCAGCCCAGAGCCACAAGCCAAGAGTGGTGAACCTCAGGATGGTGGGAGCAGAGGCCCAGACCTCCCTCCAGAGGGAGCCTGGGGCTCCGACAGCAGCTCGGGGAGCAGACCCCCACACGAAGGTTTGTCCCGCACACCCAGACTTGCTGCCAGCTCACGACTGACCAGGCTGTGCCCCAGCCCTGCTCCCAGGGTCCTGTCTGAGCCGATGCTGCAGTCTGGCCTCCAGACAGAACCTCATCCCCTACCTGCTGAGGCTGGGCGTCCCCAGCCCCCAGCCCCCCCCTACACCCGGACCTGAGAGCAGACACCCAGTGGGAGAGGGTGGGATCCAGGGAGGCAGGTTCTGGCTCAGCATGGGAGAATATGTCTCTTGTCAATCCCGTGTAGGGGTGGGTCGGGCCAGGGAGCTGGGGTGGAGCAAGCTGCCCATCATAAGAGGTGTGTAAGTAGAGCTGGACGGTCACCGCTCAAGAAGAGTGCAGAGAGGCCCATCATCTTAATGAACCTGGGTCTGGTGGCTGTGGAGCATCAGGAGGAAAGGAGAGAAAAGCTGTCTGAGCCAGTAGGCCTCTTCCAGCTCAGCTGCAGGCAGGAGTGGACGGGCTGCCGGGTGCCATCCCTCCCACCCGATGTCACAGCCCCTACTGCCCCTGCCTCGGGCACTGGGACAACTGTGACGATAATGACACCACACACACACACACACACACACACACACACACACAAATCATCATCAGGAAATCCCCACAACGAAAAACACATCATCAAAAAGTCATGGACCAGTCACCTCAACCCTGTTCTCTTGGGTCTGGGACACTTTTTATTGAGACAAAACAGAACGGCCCTGAGCCCACCCAGCTGGGTGTCCAAAATCAGGACACCTGAGCCAGTGGTTCCCAAACTTGCCAGCCAGCCAGGATCACCCAGGAGCCTCATGAAATGCAGGTGCCCAGGGACTTCCCTGGTGGCACAGTGGTTAAGAATCCACCTGCCAATGCAGGGGACACGGGTTCGAGCCCTCGTCCAGGAAGTTGCTCCCACGTGCCGCGGAGCAACTAAGCCCGTGTGTCACAACTACTGAGCCTGCACTCTAGAGCCCACGAGCCGCAACTACTGAGCCCACGCACCTAGAGCCCATGCTCCGCAACAAGAGAAGCCACTGCAATGAGAAGCCCGTGCACCGCGACGAAGAGTAGCCCCCGCTCGCTGCAACTAAAGAAAGCCCACGTGCAGCAACGAAGACCCAATGCAGCCAAAAATTAAAAATAAATAAATAAATAAATTTGTTAAAAAAAAAGAAAGAAAGAAATACAGGCGTCGAGGTCCACCGCCAAGCTGCTGAGCGTGATGCTCTGGAGGCAGGAAGGTGGAGGATTCCACGGCCGTGCCAGTCAGGACACTGACCAGGAGTGAACCGGCTCTAGTTAAAGGGAACTTGCTGCTTCACAGAACTCACTTAAAGGCCCAAGAGTGTCAGCAGACCCCATCCCTCCCGGCCTCACCTGCCGTCCTGTGCATGGGCTCCCCTCACACTGACAAGGCGGCCCCCAGCAGTTCAGACCCACGCCCTCCAGACCCCAGGCTGGAGGAACAGCGGTGTCACCCTTCTCTGGAAGTTTGAGTCAAGTTTTGGCCTGACTCTCCCTGGCTACGCTGGATCCCTGGCCCTGCCTGCACCAGTCATGTGGCTGGGTGGTCTGCGCTCTGACCGGCCAGGCTGGACTCACATGTCCCCCGAGCCAGAGTGGAGTGGAGGTGCCCCCGGAGACGGGGCCCGACGCGGGGCAGCCGGACCCCAGGAGGGCACGACACAGCCCGGGGTTTCTGATGCTCATTCCGGCCGGAGTGCACCAGGAGGCACGGCCACGTCGGGGATCACACTGAGTCACACGTGTGACGCCCCTCCCTGCACATGCCTGGACGTTGGAGGCATGCGGCCCCTGAGAGTTGCAGATCGGTTCACTGGGTGCCCGCGCCCCGCAGAGCCCCGGCCCAGCCCGAGACAGGGTCTTGGCCCCCTCGGCTGGGATCACCATGTCCTCAGTGGGAAATAACACGCCGGTTGAGGGCACAGATGGGCCCCGGCTTCTCAGCAGAAAAGAGAGGAAGGCTCCTCACTCCCAGTGTCCCCGTGCGAAACCCAGGGAGGGGGTCCCGGGCCAGGGACACGGGAGGGGGCCGCACGGCGCAGCCCAAGGGGGTGGGAGAGCCACTATCTGGTGGAGGGGGTGAGGGACCGGCAGGGGAGATGGCACCAGGGCCTCTCTCCCCTCCCCCCTGCATCCCCCGGCGAGCTGCCTGCCTCCCCTCCCTCTGTCCCTTATCTGCAGCCCGTGCTTCTCCAGCAGTGGACGAGCTTCTCCAGCAGTGGACGAGCAGCTGTTCCGCTCGGTCGAGGGCCAGGCCGCCTCTGACGAGGAGGACGACAGTGAGAAGCGGCATCAGGAGCAGGGGCCACCGGCTGAGGTCAAGGCCCTGCTGGCCGGCCTCTCCAGCTGCGGGCGTGGGTGCGTGTGCCGGTGAGGACGCCCAGGACCGGGCACCAGGGCGCCGGGCTCTCACAGTCGTCCTGGAAGCGCAGGGCGGCCCCTCCGTGCAGTGACAGACCCTGAACGTGGGAGGCCGACCCCCGATTCACGTCCAGGCTGGGTCACCTCCCTGCCCGCTGACGCTCTGTCCCGTCTTCTGTTGGGGGAGGGGAGAAGCCAGCGCCCGGCATGCGTGAGGGTGAAATGAGATGAGCCAAGGCACAGTTCCTGGTGGTTTAATCCCCACTGACTCTCACTCCCTTGGCCGCGGTCCCAGGACCTGCCCCGAAGCTCTAGTGGGACCCTCAACACATCAGTCCCTTTCCTAACCCACTGCTCCCGACACCTGGGGTGCCTCGGCCAAGTCGCCCAACTTCTGAGCCTCAGTCTTCCTGTCTCTCAGATGGGACAGTAACACCTGTCTGACAGAGGTTTTGTGAGGATTCTCCATCAAGGATGTAAAATGCCCCACGGGTACCCGATCCCAGCAGGTACTCCACTGGGGGGCGGCCTTGACTTTTTAAATGATATTGTAAGGTTCCGTTGATTTTCCAGGGTCATTGTTATCACCAACCCTTTAAGTCAACAAACATATACTAAGCACCTACTCTGTGCCAAACAAATTTGGGGGCACCAGGAAAACAGCATTAACCAAGACAGGCCCTCTGCCCTGGAGCCTCTGTTCCAGTGAGTGGTGACAGGTGTGAGGGAGAGGCGGGGCAGGGGAGGGCCTCTGAGCAGGTGCTGTTTGAGCAGAGCCCTGAAGGAAATGAGGGAAAAGCATTCCAGGCAGAGGGAACAGCAAGTGCAAAGGCCCAGAGGCATGTAGGAGGGGCCATAAGGAGCCTGCGGTGGCTGGAGTAGAAAGAGTGAAGGTGGGTGGGAGCGAGGTCGGGAGGTCACGGGGCAGAGGGGGCGAGGCCTCTGGCTTTTGCTCTGATGAGATAAGGAGCCGCGGGGGTGGGTGAGCAGGGGGTGCCACAGCCCCGCTTAGCTTTCAGGGGAGACAGACTTGGTAATAACACCTCACCCCCCCCCCCCGCCCCCGCCAGGCTGGAGCAGACTTTGGAAAGCAGCTCCCTCAGGGCTGGCACTCTCCTTTGCTGCAGGTGTGACGACAAGACGGCCAAGAAGCTCACGATGTACCTCACCCACTTTGGCAGTGCCGACCGTGCCCGTGCCCTGGGGGAGCTGGAGCAGCTGGAGACCCAGGGCTGCAGTGGGAAGACCCTGGGGGCACCAGGGGAGGAGGTCAGCTGAGTCCCACAGGCTGAGAGCTGGACCAATGCTAGAGTCTCTCACAGGCGGAACTGAGGGATCTCAGCCAAGGGCTATGCCCCATTCCCAGATGCACAAACCAAGGCTCGGAGAGAAGATGATTTAGAGCTAATGAAGAATGTTTTGGTTGCAAGTTAAAGGATACATCTCAGATTAGCTCGAGTGAAAAACAGGAATTTATTAGAGTACGGAGCTGGGAGAACAGTTTCAAAAGAACAGCTAAGATGAGCTTGAGGCACTTCAGCTTCCTAAGATGGATCCAGGGACTCAGACTGCCTCCACCTACCTGCTCTGTAGTTTTCTGGGTGCTGACCTCACTTTCCCCTACTTCAGAGGGACCTGCTCCATGTGGCGGCGGGAGGGAAGGCAGGACCACAGGCAGCTCTAGGCTCCCATCAGCCCACGGAAGAAACCCCAGGGGGACAATAATAGCCCAATACATTAAATCCCAGGGAAGAACTCCAATGGTCCAGGCTCAGTCATGTGTCCATGCCAGGGCTAACCGTGTGGTAGGCTGGCAGGGTCCCATGATTGGCAGCTCCATCAAAGTCAGATGAAATGGATGAGGGACACTGCCCTCAAGGAAAATTAGTGAGTTTGTTGCAGAGAAGGGTGGCGCCGGGCACCACCAAGAGAGGTGTCTCCATCTCAACAGGACCACTTAGCATGTTTTTTCTTATCTGTCTACAGCATGGCAACTTCCCTGTTCCATAGTAATCAAACATGGAATGCTATGGAAAGTTATTATTTCCCTAAGCCCTCTAGCACAATGCACTTTTGCAAATTGATTTTGATAAAAGAGTTTTATATTTATATACCTGAAATTCTAAATCCATACTGTTTTGTTTTGTTTGTTAAACATATCTGTGATCTGATACAGTTCCAAAGGGCATAGCAACCACTCCTTTCTAATTAAATCTCAAACAGGCGGCTGGGGGGCTCAGTTACTGAGAGCCACAGACTATGTTCCCAGGCCTCCTCTCTCCTGCCCGAAGCTGAGCGTCCAATGGCACCAGGCCTTCAGCTGCTTCTCTTTCCCTCCGTCT